AAAATATTCTCATATTTTATTTTACAATGTTATCTAAAATTCTTATCTCATTCCTATGTTCATTTCTCATATTACCATTTTCAGTCACATTTGCAATTTTATCCTTATTCTATTAATTCAAAATTGTCCCCTTTGGTTAATAATTCGAGCTAGCCACCTTCATCCTACGTTAATACCAATCTCCCTATATACTATATATCACACATACATATATTTTTTGTCAGATTCCACATTACATTTTTTCAATCACCTTATAAGTTATCTATACCTTACAAGAACATTAATCAATTAGTTATAGCAACTGATATTAGTCTTTCCATAATGATTCTCATTTCATCATTTTTTATACATTGCTAATCATCAATTAATATAATATTCTTATTATAAATTCCCATTTCCATATTTATTTCATTAAGTTCCATGTCTAATGTAGCGATGATGAGCACCCTCTCGAGTCATTGACGAAATATCTGATCCTGGGGGGGCCAAAACCCCATAGCTGTTCCATCTTGCAGGGTTGAGTTGAAGCCAGTTCCTCCCCATCCAGACCCTTAACAGTCTCCGGGCACTTGACCAGCACTGCCACCACACCACTTGTGTGGCTAGGGGTGGAGCTATATACAGTAGAACCTCTGGTCACGACCATAATTCATTCCATAACTTTGGCGATTTTTTTCGTCTTCTAGTGTTTCATCTTCAGGAATTTCATCTTCAGGGGTTGTGTTTGGTCACCATCCGAGACTAGATTGAAACATTTTGTGAATTTTTTGATTGGAATCCAATTTGGTCATGGTCAGAAGTGTTCATGACCAGAGGTTCTACTGTAATTGGGTATCATCAACATACTATGATACCAAACCCTATCGTGACGGATGACCTCCCTTAGGGATTTCATGTGGATGTTAAAATGGATTGGTGAGAGGCTGAAGTCCGAGGCACCTTCCCATTGCAAGGGTCTAGCACTTGATCCATCCTTTCCTAACACCACAGACTGGAACCAGTCATGGGGGAAGGAGAACCACTATAACACAGTGCCTCCCACTCCCAACCCCAAAGCTAGTCCAAATTGATACCGTGGTCAATGGTACTGAAAGCTGCTGAGAGGCCCAGGATGGCCAGAATGGTTGCTTCATCCTGAGCTTTCCAAAGGTTATAAAATGGGGCCAATGTTTCAGTGCTGTGCCCTGGTATGGATCCAGACTGAAAAAATGTCCAGATAAACTGCTTCATCTAGTGCCCTCTGTAAAAGCCATCCATTCCTCATAAGATTGTCTTGATATGTAAGAGCAGTGATGGCAGTATTGTGGCTACTTCTGCTGACTGCCAACTTTCAGCAGTTTGACAGTTCAAGTCTCACGGGCTCAAGGTTGACTCAGCCTTCCAGCCTCCTGAGGTCGGTAAAATTGTTGCGGGCAATATGCTGACTCTATAAACCTCTTAGAGAGGGCTGTAGAGCACTGTGAAGTGGTATATAAGTCTAAGTGCTATTGCTATTGCTATTCTCCAGCTAGTTAAAAAAAAATGGAACCATGCCCATGTGCCTGGCTCAATTCCTAGTGAGAACATAGAGTTTTTTTCATAGCAAAGTAGAAGTGATTATCCATTGCTACTTTCCAGGATATTTTTTTCAACGTCCAGACCTAACATCTCTGGTCATTCCTGATGGTCCCCCATCCATGTACTAACTAGAACTGACATTTTTAAGACTGATGAACAATGCAGGCTATTTAATTTCATACAAGAAAAAAAGTATTAGCTCTCCTGAGCTGGTGAGGCTGAACAAATCAGAAAACATCGCTTTTGATTATTTTTATTCTTGAAAGTGTTCAGCCAAATTGTTTAAAAATTAAGATTAAGAAAGTATCTTTCATCAAATTGATAATAATCCACTGGACATTACTGAATTTGCTTGATACTTGCAACCGGCAGTCTTGTTAAATAGAAATTAGAGTGATGAAGACTACTGTTGCAATGCAAATCATGTTGTTTTGCAAAATGTTTATCATTCATCAACAGGCTGCAGACTGCTTTTAAGAGCCTCTTCTTGTTCTGAAATTTAATTATTTTAATAGTTTCTGAATAACGAAGTATTTTTTGCTATTAAATATATTTTGAAATACTGAGCTAAGTTTAGCAAAAGGTAATATAGGTATCAGATGTTATATCTTAGTGTTAAATGTCAGGTGTTGGTGTTAAATCTGAAAACTTCAATTTTCTTCTGAACATAATAAAATTAACAAAAGTACAGAAGGCAGTCCAGCTGTAGGAGCCATATTAGTCTTGGTGGTTGTGATCAATAGCAGAGACTAGCAACACAGGTGCTCTGCTTTATGAACAGCAGCTGTTTGCCATTTTATGCATGTGAACAATATGGCAAACCAGGTTTGTGTGTGCTGGTTAGGATGGATTTTTGCAGTCTGATCTGTGTGTGTGTGTGTGTGTGTGTGTGTGTGTGTATGTATATATATATATATATATATATGCACACCATAGAGATTATTTTTAAAAACACAAACATGAGGCAATTTTTGATAAGTTTTATTTATTAAAAGTTTTTATAGATATATATCATAGGCATTTTTTTTAAGAGTTCAATATTCAGGTGAGGATAAATAATTGGAAAAGTTCATATATATATATATACCCTTCTCTCCACAGTGCATAACTATGGAGCTCTGGTGCAAAACCAATAGCTTTGGCTACATTTCACCCTGAACATCAGCCCTCTATGCTACATTACCACATAGCATTGGCTGCTGAGATTTACCTAGCTCCATTGTGCCTGTGGACAATGGAGCCCTAAAGAGGAGCTTCCAAAGATACCCATTCCCAGAATCCAAATTCTCTTTTCAGAATAGTTTAACTATAGAGATGGGCAATTTGATATCCTCCAGATTCATGGATCACAACTTCTCACAATCCTTTTTGTCCATCAGGTTAGAATAAAGTGAACAGCAGTCCAGTGTACTGGTAGTATTAAATTGCCTATAGCCAACTTAGGTAATAAAAAGTGGTATGTACCCCCTCCCTCTCCTTCAGTCTTTAAAAGAGAACAGAACCAAGAGAAGCAAATGGCTTATTTTCAGGGATACATCTTTTTTTTAAGGGCCTCCCATTTCCAGTTATTTCTTTGCTGGGGGAGGTTACATCAGATGTGTCAAGCCTATTGTACAGGTTACACATTTTTTTTTTGTTATGTTTACCCCAAAACTGCAGAAATCCATGCAGCTTCTTCTTTAGCTCTTGGAAACTAACAGTTTTGGGAGAGAAAGGCACTATCATTTTTCTTTTAAAGTTTATTAACAATTTTCTGTAACTTCCATGGCTGTGTAGAAATATTCTGCTGTCTGTTCTCTAAGACTGCTGGTACCAGAAGGAATGATTTCATAGTATTTTCTATGGAATGATGTATCATGATAATCTCAAAATTGCCCAGAATTTTAACATATGCAGCAGTATAATAGCATCTTCTTGGCCTAAAATACAGATTGAAATGCATTCAATGGCATAATTTTAAAGGGTATCATTGGAATGATTAAGTATTGTGGCAACAACTGTTAGCTTAACATTCACTAGGTATTCAAAATAACTCTTTAACATTTCTTGAAAATAAGAAAGCAAAGTAACATAATTATCCCTGACAGCATCTTCATATTGAAACGATCAATGCATTTTTCTATGAACAATAGGAACCTTTCCCACTCAGAATATTTTTATTAATCCCTGCCAGATGAAAGTACACAGAAATAGTTTTTAGTTTCTCAAAAAATTCTACAAATACAAAGTTGACAATTTGAGAGAAAAATATCTGCTTTCTGAAATTGTACATATCTAAAATACCCATATAAAAGGTAAATTTATTTTAACTATAAAAATATATCTGAGATCAATTCCAGCTGGATTACTTCTTTATAAAAATCAGAATTATTTGAAAAAAATTACTACTAGGTTTACAAATAGAGTCTTGAAATTAAGTATTTCAATGTCTTTCTGTGCACATTATCTTTGGTTTATAATTTTGGTTTCTTTCTGATATAAAATGGGCAGAACTAAGAATCTTGGCATTTGTTCAGTCATTGTATGCCAGGAACAGCATCTTCAAATAGCATACATGATGCACATTCACTTGAATGTGAATGTCTTTCAGACATTTCAGACATTTTTCTTACCTGTGACTAAATGCATAGGCAAAAAGATATTCTCTAGTAGCATTTGTTCAGTTGAATAAAACATCAAAAAAATTGGAATAACTATGATTGATATATATTTCATGCCTTCAGGTGCCTCCAACCATAAGGAATCCATTGCTTTTATCAATACTGATAAACAACACATTAAAAAATTAAATTGTCTGCCTTTGAAATAATCTGTATGGTCTCAACAAATCAGTGGTTTATAATTTCCAATCTGAAGGAAAATATGTATACAAAACTGAAAAGCCTTCTTATAGGAGGACTGTTCCAGGTATACAAAAAATACAGATGTTGCCTCATCCACTAGTATTACAAAGGTAAATAGAAACCACACAACTGGGAACTCTGAATGCATGGATTTGAAGCTTACGGACTCTGCATAAACCAAAACATATGAATGCTCATTGCAGATGTGCAGTTCATTGCTTGTCAATTTACATGCACAGATCTAGTATGATGGGTTAAAGAAAAAACGTGAATATATCCTGATTAAGCATGTTAATAGACATTTACAGCTGATGGCAGTCTTAGCTTCTTTGCAATTTAACTGCAATCAAAAGTTAACAAGCACTTAAAATTAAACTACAGCTCATGAAATTCAATTGCTCAAGTGACAGAAGGTACATGTCCATATAGCCTGATAGAATCAAGATTCCAGTTGCGCCAAGGAATGCTTCTTCACACAATTTCATGCTTTCTTTTGGTACTCTGCCATGCAACAATTTCAAATGATATTTTAAGAGTCTTTAAGTTGTAGAATTTGAAGAGATTTTTGACCTTTCATTTTAATTTTTTCAAAATCAAACCCCCCCTGATATTCGTGAAAAAGCTTTTACCTTCTTTTCTTACACACTTTTATGGCAATAAAGATCTTTTAAAGTTTTTAGTTCTTCAATTAAAGTTTTGTTCTGGTTTTCAAGGACTGCAACTCGATTTTCAAGGCATTTAACATATTCCTTCTTCTTTCTACGGCATTCTCTAGCGGCTTCTCTGAAATCCAAAAGCAAAAATATGTCAATTACAATATGAAATTCAAAATATTTTACAAACATTCCACTTTTGCTTAGAGAAGATGGTGAGCATTAACATTTTTCTAGGACATTCTCTTGCCAGGTAAAGTATACTTTAGTAGAGTGTCTATCTGTATTGTGATAGACACGGTCTGCTATGTACTAAAATTTATGCTCCCCTAAATCCATCTTATCCTCCTATCCCTCCTTTTAGATGTTTATGTATATAATTTCATTCTATACCTTTGAGCTTTTTATTATTTTTTTAGCCTTTGATTAACTTTTTTTGTGTTTTTAATTGATAGTACCCTTCCCTCCTTATGCTAATATCTGATTTAATTCTTTCAACTAAATTTTGAAATAAATGCTGAGCATTTTGTCAATATTTTATACCAAATAAAATCAACAGTCAAGGCTCTCTACAGTTAAATTAGTCCAAGAAAAAGCAACTATGTATAAATATGCTCTAATGCTAAAGGAACAAAATAACTGCATGTCCACTGAATATGGCCTCAAACTAAGTACCCACAGAAGGATGTAACATAGTCTGAAGCCTATTTAGGATTTTACTTCAGAAGTTTGATACATTTAAAAACACGATAGAAGTTCAAGTGGTCTATCAATATATGATATATGTGATGGAACATTTCACAATTTTTCATTATAAAGCACAAGTGAAAAAACTAAAGCTTCTAGGGGGATGTATTAAATTTATTTTTCAAGAATTTTGTTTTCTTAATTATTTATGAAAAACACTTCTTTTCCCCTTATTTCTTAAAATAAGGCATTTTTAAATGAAGGTATTTCCCACTCAAAAAAGTGAAACCAGAAAAAAAAGCAAGCAATATGAACAAGCATTTAGTTAGAAGGGAATAATATTCCTTAGGCAAGATAAAAAACTGAAACCTATTAGTAATCTCTGCATAAGATCTCTTTTCAGAACATAAGTGGAAAGTACATACCTATTTTTCATCAGCCTTATTTCTCGTTTCAGTTGGGGATCATCTGTTTTGGTTGACTGAGATGTCAAGGACGTTGTCATCACAACTGTTTGTGGAAGGGAAGTGGTGGTTGGCGTCCTGCGTAACTGGTAGGCCTGCATATCCCCAGATGCAGCTGTTAAGGAATCAGAGTAGAGCATACGATAAAGCAGCGATTCTTAAACTCTGAAATACTGCTATTCCCACCCTCCAAATAAAATTAATGATTCCACTAGGTTTAGGGTTGGGCAAGAAATAAATATACCATTTTTAGTGGTGGTTTTTGAGAATAAAGGCAAATACTGACAATGATGGACTCTGTACGTGGAAAGAGAAAGAGGGAAAAACTTATGGAATTAAGCAAGCATTACTTTTTTTAATCAAAAAGTAGGATTATATAATTGGTTAGGATTAATTGTTTAATGACTCAAGCATTAGAGAGACTATTCCCAACTAGTTAGACTGCCTGAATGATAGAAAATATCGATAGTACACTTAACTTAATAGCAAACACCCATTTTCTACAGTAACAGATTTTACTTCACCATCCATTCTAGGGGAAGAACTAAAATCAGCTTTCTGTGGGAGGATAAATTTTGAAAAAGGTAAGGTAGGAATAAAAAAAGAGATCCTCTCCCCACTCTGCCTGGAGAGGCTACATGGCCTGTACCTGCTATAGGAAGTGGACCTTCATTATAAGTCTAATATACTAACGTCCACAGTAAGACATACTAGAGACATTTCTGGGATTGGAGTTTTCAAGAGAAGGGTCCTGAGCTTTGCCAGAAACTCTTTTCTGTAGATTCTCTTGTGAGAGGAAATTTGTGAAGAGTCGTACAAATTAAGTTTGCAGTAATTAATAAAAATGAACTCAAGAGGGTCAGGTGAGAACCCTACAAAGATCTCCCAAGGAAGTATTTGAAATTTGAATGAACTCTTTACGTTCACCACAAAACATTTCCTGAAGATTTTTCTCAGTCTGTGCTATAAACACTTTTGCACATGATTGCCATGGATTTCAACCTGCAGAAGCCTCAGATTTTGGTAAACACTGTATAATACCAGCCCACTTTATAAGATAATAAAGAAAGGTGTTCCAAGTACATAGAAATTATTGGGAAGGTGGGCGAGACTCTTCAAAAGCTTTCTCATCCCTTGCTTCTTTTTAACTTGGAAATAATGGTAATCAAATGGGAAGGCTTTTTGCATGCAAAGGTCCAGATGTGAACTTGAAGCCAGTTCAAAGAGTAGTTGCTCTGAACTGGGACTGTTCCTTCACTTATGAAAATCCAAGAAAACTCTTGTGGAAATGAGCAGGTAAGCTTCTGGCATGTTTATCATACCATAGTTTAAAAGATGTTTAGATAATGATTTCTGTCATGCACCTCAATAAACCCTATTCTGCAGATTCAATGGCTAATAGACAAGTTCAGTGGTCTAAGACTCAGTATGACATGCCAAGCTCCCGTTTTTACTCCCATGAACAGAAGTAGGGAGAACAGATCTTCCATTCTTTTATGCCAATGTCAACTAGGTGATATATTGCCACCATCATTCTATGGGAGAAAGTGGGGAAAAGGCCATGTGGGACATCTGTCAAGTTCAGAGGGGATACCATCATACTGGACCTAACTAGGCCAGCTTCATCCCCAACATCCTCTGCTGACTGACATGGTCCATCACACAAGATCTCCAAATGGCCCCAGTATGGTAATCTTATGTTCCTCCTTTGCCACATCGGCAATGTGAAGCAGGAGATACATGTATTTTCCCTTGATAAATGTCCCTTTGCAAGAGGGCAGAGAGGGAAGCTCTCTGCTTCTAAACTCATCTGGTACTTCTATCTCACCTGTTAATCAGCACTGATGGAAAGGCTGCCTGAATGGTTTATATTCATCAGCATTGTGTGGTCCTGGCAGTTACCAGGAATTTGAAGAGGAAGAGGAGATTCTCCAGAACATACAACTACAATACCAAGGCCATTGGGTGTTTCCAACAACCAGCAGTTGGAAGTTGGATGGATCATCCTGGTCTCTCCGTGATTTTCCTTCTGCTTCTGGCTTATTCACTGGGCTGAGCTGCCTTCCCTAGTGCTCTCCTTGGCAGGAGAAAGCCTTAAAGTCCCATACATTCTATATATGTTTAAACAATATAATGAGGATTACTTAAATTTGATAAATGTGATAGAGATCACCAACACTGGTACTGTGAATGGGATTAATATGAATGACACCCAGAATCAACTCTGTTCACATGCAATATGGGTGTATATTTTAAAAAAATACTATATATATATTACTATATTATATAGTACTATATTATGTGTGTGTGTGTGTGTGTGTGTGTGTGTGTGTATACACTGCTCAAAAAAATAAAGGGAAAACAAAAATAAGACATCCTAGATCTGAATAAATGAAATATTCTCATTAAATACTTTGTTCATTACATAGTTGAATATGCTGACAACAAAATTACACAAAAATTATTGATGGAAATCAAATTTAGCAACCCATGAAGGTCTGGATTTGGAGTTACACTCAAAGTGGAAAAAAACACTACAGGCCGATCCAACTTTGATGTAATGTCCTTAAAACAAGTCAAAATGAGGCTCAGTAGTGTGTGTGGCCTCCACGTGCCTGTATGACCTCCCTACAATGCCTGGGCATGCTCCTGATGAGGTGGCAGATGGTTTCCTGAGGGATCTCCTCCCACACCTGCACTAAAGCATCCCCCAACTCCTGGACAGTCTGGTGCAACATGGCGTTGGTGGATGGAGCGAGACATGATGTCCCAGATGTGCTCAATTGGATTCAGGTCTGGGGAACAGGTGGGCCAGTCCATAGCATCAATGCCTTCGTCTTGCAGGAACTGCTGACACACTCCAGCCACGTGTGGTCTAGCATTGTCTTGCATTAGGAGGAACCCAGGGCCAACTGCACCAGCATATGGTCTCACAAGGGGTCTGAGGATTTCATCTTGGTACCTAATGGCAGTCAGGCTACCTCTGGTAAGCACATGGGGGGATGTGTGGCTCCCTAAAGAAATGCCACCCAACACCATTATTGACCCACTGCCAAACCGGAGGCTGGAGGATGTTGCAGGCAGCAGAACGTTCTCCACGGCGTCTCCAGACCCTGTCACGTCTGTCACATGTGCTCAGTGTGAACCTGCTTTCATCTGTGAAGAGCACAGGGCGCCAGTGACGAATTTGCCAATCTTGGTGTTCTCTGGCAAATGCCAAACATCCTGCACGGTGTTGGGCTGTAAGCACAACCCCCACCTGTGGATGTTGGGCCCTCATACCACCCTCATGGAGTCTGTTTCTGACCGTTTGAGCAGCCACATGCACATTTGTGGCCCGCTGGAGGTCATTTTTCAGGGCTCTGGCAGTGCTGTCCCTCCTTGCACAAAGGCGGAGGTAGCGGTCCTGATGCTGGGTTGTTGCCCTCCTACGGCCTCCTCCACGTCTCCTGATGTACTAGCCTATCTCCTGGTAGCGCCTCCATGCTCTGGACACTACGCTGACAGACACAGCAAACCTTGCCACAGCTCGCATTGATGTGCCATCCTGGATGAGCTGTGCTACCTAAGCCACTTGTGTGGGTTGTAGGCTTCGTCTCATGCTACCACTAGAGTGAAAGCACCGCCAGCATTCAAAAGTGACCAAACCATCAGCCAGAAAACATAGGACCTGAGAAGTGGTCTGTGGTCACCACCTGCAGAACCACTCCTTTGTTGGGGATGTCTTGCTAACTGCCTATGCTTTCCACCTGTTGTCTATTCCATTTGCACAACAGCATGTGAAATTGATTGTCA